CGATATATTACTCTGAAACCCAAGGATTACAGATAGTTTCTCAAATGGAAGATTACAGAGGATAAAGGATAGTAGACGATGAAGAAGAACAAATTTCTGAACTACTCCAAAAATGAAACACGAAACTGCTAAATAACCTAACCCTATTCAAAACGACCTCAGACATAACATAAAATGACAACATATAATTAATCCCACTTGGCAGCCATATCATCATCCAGGTCCTACATGCCTTATTTATTTACCACATATCACCCAGCTTGGCGAGAATCTCAGATGAAATTGGGGAAGCAGAGGTTGGACTCAACTCAACTGGATCTCTTCCAGAATCAGAATAACACGACTGGACTGGAGGAGAAAAGCACAAGGAAGGCTTTTACTAGCACGTGCTGTTCGGGGCCGCACGTGACTTACTTGGACAGGTCAGGTATACACACAAACGGAATGTTGCCGCTCATCCTGGCCGTCCGCTAGTGCCGCTACCATGGACTGGAAGGAATGATGAAGAAACCTGAAAATTTAAGTTGACGATTTCTTACTCTCGATCATGATCACTTATTCCCTTCAATTCAACTACCAAGAATCAATGAAACAACAGAAATTGTTTCTTTCCATCTAGATTGGAAATGATAGAAGAGGAATTGGAAAACAAATAAAATAAAATCAACATTCTTAAAATTAGAAATTGAATACTTAATCAATCAACACCTTACCCCTCAAAGCAACCCATATTTCAAGAAAGGTTGAAGTAGGTTCTTATGATCCCACTCCACTGATTCCCACCATTCTTCTGCGTCTCTATCCATCTTGATTTCTTTGAGACGAGGAGGAGGAGATGGTTGGCCATTATCAAGCAGGGGAAGCTGCACAGGGATCCTCTTTAACTCCCGACATTCGGATATTATAATTTTTTCAATAGAATCACAAACCATAACTCCTTTGGCACTGCAAATGCTCTTCAATTCGGGTAACGTCATCAAGATCAATGTCCTTAACTTGGGAAAAGTGAATTCATCCGGTGATTCATCTGAATCTGATGATGCTATTATCTCCTCCATAAGCAAGCAGTTATGAACATCAATCTCCTCTAAGTTTTGGAGGGTCTGGAGCAGCTCAAGTGGAAGCAACTTCCTCATTGAACAAGCCTGAATCGAAAGCCTTTTAAGATTGGAAAAGACGTGCAGTGGTGTTGCTACTCCTTCCACTCTCACAAGAACAGTCAATTCAAACAATCTCCAAAGACGCAGCTCTTCAAGCTTATCCAGTACTGGACAGGAGGATGAGTTCAAGTCAACCACGCACTCCATATCTTCACATTCCTCAATATAACAGGATCTCAACTCGGTTGCCTTTTCTAACAAAACTACTTTATTTAAGCCGCTTCTCATGTTTTCACACTGCACTATCTTCAGCCTCTGAAGGTTATCTGGAAGCACTATACGTTCGTCTCCTAAGTCGTCTCCTAAGTCCCACTGATGAATTTTAACCACAGGTTTCTTTCGGTGAATGTCATCGTCAATATCAGAGTTGAGTGGTCCTACTGCAATCACGTAGTCAGTAAGAATTCGAAAATCTTGAGAATTGACAAAATGACTGTAGCCCTGTATGTCATCGAATTCACATTCAAAGGTCTCTAACTTCTTCAATCCCGCAACCTCTTCTTCTTTTATCTTCAATCCTTCATAAACTGACAAGTATTGGAGCTTGGAAAGGTTTGACAACATTCCCACTGGACTCTCTTTCAGATTCTGACAATAACTTAAATCAAGATATTCCAAACTAGTCAATTTCTCCATGCCTTGAGGGACCACCTTAATCCCAGAACCACCTAGATCCAACTTCTTTAATGCCCTAAGCTTTGCTAAAGAAGGCAAATACCTTAACCTCCAACACCTCTGTAACCTAAGAGAAGTGAGCTTCTCCAAGTTTGAGATGGAATTAGGTAAAGTTTCAATACCAGTTTGAGAAAGATCAACAACCTTCAGTTCAGGCATACCTTCAAAGAAGGATTCTTCTGGGATCTCGGACAAATTTTGATTATTTGACAATATCAAAGTTGAAAGAGTTGGACACTTTGGGCACAGCCCAAGAGGAATTTTTGATATTTTATTCTCCATCAGAGACACCTTCTTAAGATCATTTCCCCACCCATGCTCTTCTGGCACCTCTGTCAACTTCATTCTAGCTTTTACCATATAACCAAATTCAGGACCAATGCTTTTGATAGCCATGTCTCTCATTACATCATGCATCTTGAAAACATCATCACCCCAATCAACAGTTTTCTCTAACAAGCACTTCTTTACTAGCATATTTAAAAAGGCATGGCCCCTCACATAAGCTGCTTTTCTACTAGGCAACACATCAATTAGTCCTTCATCAATCCACCCTTCAATCAACTCTTCTCTTGAAAAGGAATAATCTTCAGGAAAAAAGGAGCAGTAGAGAAAACAATTTCGGATGTCAGAATTTTGCAGACGATCATAACTAAACCTTAGCCTCTTGAATATCTTTTCATCTGAACCAGTCACACTCTTTACCCGTTCTCGTAATTCATTTAAGGCATTCTTCCACACTTCAACATCATCTTCTCCCCTCATACTCTCTGCTATCACAACAATGGCCAGT